TTCTTTAAGACTTTTTGCTCGGTATTGTGTAAAAGATCCCTCGAATCTTTTATAATAACCATACCAACATCTGTAGAATTATATAACTATTCATAAATGTAGCAGAAATCTAGAAAATCAACATATACTATTCAAAAAAAGTAGGGGATATTTGATTTTTAAGTGTTATTAAAGTCACCTAATGAAACTGACGAAGAAACAAATGACAAAATGAAATGAAGTTCACATTCATCGATTTATTCCAAATGATCGTTAGACTAAGTAAGGCACAGACTGACCATTATAAGGGTAAAATGATACCCGGGGTCAAACAGCAAAGTTACCACAGCATCACAACCAAGTCAGTAACGGGTAAATCCTCCTCTGTTTGCCAAACAAGCATTGATCCGACGTGGTATACTCCTAATGAGACGTCTAAGGTCATTTTGGTCCAGATTGTTCCATTCCTGTTGCAACGCAGCAGCAAGTTCTTGGACATTGGCAGGACGTTGTTGACGTTGACGTAACCTCTGTCCAAGCATGTCCCAGACATGCTCGATGGGGGAGAGGTCGGGACTCAGTGCTGGCCAAGGTAATGTGGTGATGTTCTGTTGTTGGAGGTAACCTGTAACGATTCTGGCCCTGTGACATCTTGCGTTGTCATCCTGGAAGATGAAACGGCGGCCATGACGTCGTGCGAACGGCACAACATGGACTGCCAAGATGTTGTCCCGGTAGTACTGGCCTGTAACACGCCCTGCAACAACATGTAAAGCCGTTCTTCCAGCAACAGTGATGCCTCCCCACACCATAACAGAACCACCCCCAAATCGATCATGTCTGATGACGTTAACGTCTTGGAAGCGCTCGTTTCGACGACGCCACACCCTCCTACGTCTGTCCAAAAAATCAACAGTGAACCTTGACTCATCTGAAAACATCACATTGCTCCAGCGTCGATTATCCCAGTGTTGACGATCCCTACACCAACGACGTCTTGCCTGAATGTGATGATCTCTCAAACAAGGGATCACGCGAGGACGTCGGGCGCGAAGGTGACCCCTATGCAGTCGATTCCGAATCGTCTGGCCACTCACTCTCACACCAGTGTCTGTTTGAAGACGAGCGCTGATCTGATTTGCTGTGATGACACGATTTCTCAAGGCCAAGGTACGGATAAATCGATCCTGGGCTTGAGTTGTCGCCCTTGGTCGACCTGAGCGTGGTCTGTCCTGTACAGATTGTGTATCACGGTATCTTGACCATAGCCTGCTTATGACAGACTGAGAAACATTCATCCTCCGCGCCACAACCGCCTGTGTTGTGCCGATCTGTAGCATGCCAAGGGCACGTAACCTTTCATTTTGGGTAAGCCGACGCATATTAAAATTTGTTTTCTGGTCACTAAAACAATTAAACTGATGTTTCCACCCTGGAATTCAATGCCACAATGACTGTAACATTCAAAGTCAGAGTCGTGCAAATCTTGGGTTGGACCCCCATGATGATCCCAAGCATCACCTGCATTCCATGCGGTAGCTATTGGTGCGTTTGGGCGTCACATGTAACTGGAAATGTTTCTTCTGTGAGGTTCTATAGTGACTTTTTTCGTAGTCATTTGCATATTTTAGTATTATGCCCCCAAAATCAAATATCCCCTACTTTTTTTGAATAGTATATATGCTTGATTAAATTCGCTTTGGCTTTGTCGTCTTTGAATTATTAAAACTCGAATATATCTATTTCTGCATAACATATCATGGTGTAAAGGTATCTTGTATTATTAAAGGGGCTAAATCGCTATTCTTTGGTACCTAGGAATGGACACAAATGGATGGCAACGCATATAATAATGTAATATGAATGTATATAAACTCATTTACATTCAATCCTGTCTGTTTTTACTGTAATTTCTAATCAGTTATGTTCGGCGAAATACGCGAATAGTGCAAATTGAATGACAGTCTATGACGTCTGGTTATTCCAGTCTACTCCGATAATCTTCACTTATGGGACATGTTTAGCCTCATTCATCCAGTCACTTCATTACAAATAGCACTCGTAAGCATTCGGGCACGCGATTCGTGTACCAAGTTTAAAATTTTCATTGTGTTTTAAATATTGGACACCAGAAGCCCACGGTAGGATAACAACATCAATGTTAATTTAAATTGATCAATAAAACGTGTTTGCAATGTCGAAGACTGTGGATGATTCTGGGGTGTGTTCCCACTTAGCCGGCAGACTGTTAATCCTTTGATTGATCTTAAAACTATAGTCTGTTTAAAAGTAGTCACTCAAGAACTGTTCACTAGTGTTCAGCGTTAATGAGCTCTTAATCCCTCTTACAAGTTCATTAACTTAATAAAACAAGAACAATCCTACGTCGAAATCACCATTTCACAGATATTATTTGGTGGTACCAAAAGGCCTCGAGTTAAGAAATATCGACAACTTGATACAAGAATTGAACATTTGAAAACACAGTTATTAAATGGCTCTTTAAGTGTAAATCGGTATGGAACAAATATTTCCTATTTAATGGGGCTGTAAAATGATTGTTATGTTGTAAGACATTTATTTATAAATTATATAATGCTATTTAATAAAAGTTAAATGTGTAAATTGTAATGCATTTTTATATGTGTAAATCATTTAATGTTATTTAATAAATATTAAATTTGTTAAAATCAATATATTTTTATATGTGTAAGCTATTTAATGTTATTTAATAAAAGTTAGATTTGTTAAAATCAATACAGTTTTAGTCTTAAAAAAGATATGGACTATAGTTTATAACACCATTGTTCTAGGATTAACTCTGGATTAGCGGCAAAATTTGACATCAAAGCCTGCCGGCTAAGTGGGAACACCCCGATTCTGGCTACTTTAATATTACATAACATTGTGATCAACCAGGGAAAGTTAATTGGTATAACAACCTGCTGCATGATTTAATTTTAGCGATAAAAGATTAATGATACATTATGCAAGCTTTAGATAAAGAGCTAGTTGTTCTTGCTATAATAGTTCAAAAATAGACAATGCAAAATGAATATACTGAAAATTTAATTCAAATTACTTTACTCTGAGCCAAAGTTATTACTGTAGTTTTGACAAGATGTGTGCATTGATCGTAACCACCGTACTGGTTGTTCAAAGCTTAGCCTCGCTTCCCCATTTTTAAATTAAATCATTAAATGGCCGAACCGTTCTAATCTACTTAAAATCGGGGCCACCCGATGGCATTGAGAGTTGATTATGGTCTTTGCAAGTTAATAAATGTCTTATGAATAATTTATATAACGGAATAAATTTAAGTCTGCTTTCAATCACAAAAGAAATATATACAAAATACAACGCTGTGTTTGTGCAACCATATAACAAGCATAGAAATATAGTCTATGATAACAAGCAGTGGCGTACTGCAAAGCCATATATGGGCTATGACTTCATCTTAGAATTGTGACGTCATATCTAAACTAGAAATCAGTCATTCGAGGCTCAATTGTCCGATGAACCACCATGCCAAGTTTTATGTCAAGCACCACTCCAAAAACAAGATCAGTAGTGCTAAGGGGCCAATTCCTGGTCCAAAAATGATATAGTTTGTGCTATTTGCGATTTTTGTCATTCAATCACAGAGTTAGTTTAGTTCAATATTAGTTTTAAATTTACATGATGATGTAACCTATAATATATTGTACATTGCCATCCGTCTCATCATATGTATTTACATATATATATATATGTATGTGTTTGCCATTTTAACTGTGTATATACATCCATTTTGTTCCTTTGTTTTAATATTATGCATGCATATATTATCTAGGGAGAGGGGTTTTACATAGACTAAGCCTGTTCCCCAATCCCATCCAGACATCCTGAATAAAAATATTGTTTATAAAAAAATAAAATCACAAGGTGTGCTGGACAAAACACAAAATAATCTGATACTTATGTATTATAAGGTCCATGATTTTACCCATAAACTGATCAGGCATTCTCATTTATGACATCTTTAGTTGGTTTTAAAAAAAACTGACTGAATGAAATGTGTGTTGGAGACACACTGTTAATCTACTGCTCGGGCATTTTCATACATGTTTGTATTATTTATCATGTTAGATTTATTATTTTTCCCGGTCATTTCGATGTTGGGGCTATGTTTTGACGTATCCGTAATGCGTTATGGAGTTTTAATAAAAGTAGTTCTTCAATAAACACCACCCGTTACAAATATAAATATCTTGAACGAAAACGTATGGTCAGGTGCCGTACTATATCTTGTCTCCCGGGGATATTATAACTGATTAAAGGTTAAAGTTATAGGTAGACCATACCTAACTTTAAGTGTATTTTAATAACTATTGTAAATTAATAATTCATTTCAATCATACTCATTTGTATCTACATGCGCTACAAGTTCGTCTGTGGATTTGGCACTATATAAATGACCATATTATTATTATTGAACATGTGCGACATGAAATGTCTAATTTTGTCTTAACGACAGTGTGTTTCTAAGGATTTTTTTTTACCCTTAGAGTCACGTGTGGATTGATAGAACTGAAATGAAATGGGGTTCAACACCTACGCTGGGCTAATAAACACAGACAAACACAATGTAGGTTTTTTTATGGAAGAGACATTCCCTCTGGACTAATATGTTTACCGTTTTCACAAAAAGAACGAAAAAAAATTCCGGTGTTCATTGGCCCGGTTGGAACCATAAACCCTCATTTCATTCTGAAAAGGGCATGGTCACTGTGTGACATATGTTCATTAGTGTTCCGCCCCGGGAGAACCCCTGATGTAGCCACCAACCCTGAACAGACAGACAGACACAAATAATAGTATTTACATGTATGAAATGAGTGTCATTAAGGGATCGAACTTGAAACAGTCGTTAAACCACATTTTACGCCCAGACACACTCATATTGATTTTAGTAGCAGTATTTTAATAATAGATGTGGACTGATTTTGTTACTGAAAGAAAAAAAAAAAACAACCATTAAATTATTCTCTTCATTTGTTTTATTGACATTTTATCTTTAAGATAAAAATTGTTTCACCATTTTATCTTATCAACAGTATCTTTATTTCAACCACTGTAACAATCTTATCAACTGTATCCCTGTTCTGTAAATGGCAGTAAGATTTTCACATTTCTACTATATTCATTCTCTTCAGACACCTTCCTGTTAAACTGAAACGACAAGAAATAATACAATTCACACTGACAACCAGCAACTTTGTCACCACTTATGAAGTACAATTAAGGATACAGTGGCGTGGAAGCGTTGTCTGAGGTGAGCAATGGTCGATGGGTGGACATTAAAGTGTCTGGCAACGGCTACCTGTGAAGCCCCCTGATCCAGCATGCCAATAGCTCTGTTCCTGTTTTCTTGTGTAAGGTGTGGCATTTTTCCGAAATGATGAATGTTGAAATTTTGATCTGTATTTAAACGGCCAGAGTGCAGGGAATGCATGTGCAAAACGTTTGACATGGGACTGCTTAAAATCTTGAAAAAAGACAAGTGTTGCGTTTGCACGAACAAAGTTCATTACCAAGAACTGATATTGGGTTCAAACCCAGAACTCCATAAAAAGAGACCCATCACAAGATTCACCTATGTGCCATAAGATAGGAAAGCACAAGAAAACATTTACCAGAAATATTTCACGAATTAGGCATTGCATTTTTAATGGCTTTGAGTGTACATGTAAAGACACCAAAATTCTACTAGAAAATTACTCTATTCCCTGGGAAGACATCTCAAAACCCAACCTGTTCTTGTGGTCACTATATAGAAAATTTGCACACTATTTGTTACATTGTCCAAATTTTGACAATTTAACATTACCAACTATGAATAAATGAATCAAATATATTAATTCAGAAACTGTAATCAACCGTACTAGAAATGCAATATCTGCAATATCGCTAGTGTAAACACAACACACATCAATTCTCTAGGGTCAGTAAAACTGTGGAGTTATGAACGACATGCCAAGGTTGACATATAAATACTGAGAACACGCCATGGGTTTGATTCCGGACGGTGGTATTACCAGAACCATTGCACACTGGTTTGGATGCCATCACATTACCATCCTAAGGTTCGTCACTAGAGATCGACAAAGGCCTCGAAAACACCTGGACAAGCCCAACACATAATCTGACAAACTGTACAGGACCACACGCTGTCGGCTATTGTGAGGGGTCAAAATGTGTTCATATGTGTTGACACGGTTCGTCGCCGAGTTCGCTCTGAAGCAGAACCACCTATCTGTATTGGTGTGAAAGCTGAAGCAGAATTACCTACCTGTATTGGTGTAAAAGCTGAAGCAGACCCACCTACCTGAATGGTATGAAAGATGGAATAGTCAAACCTACCTGTATTGGTGTAAAAGCAGGAGAGGGTGGCGTCAGTTGTTGAGGTGTGTAAAGATTATTTAAAGTAAACCATATTACATCTTTATCCAACTTGATAAAGTCATGGAAACAATTTACACTGGCCTGAAATAAAATATTTTGAAATAATTGTTTTTATTTATTTCCAAATAGCCTAATATGGATTATCGTAGCTAACAAGGAATCTGTAATAGCAATGGCTGTATGTGTCGACAATATATGATGGCATTCAAATGGCAGGGAAAAGTTCAGAAAAATATCATAGATGCTTTTGTTTCATTTTTTATTTAACATTTTATCCTTCTATGACCACTTTACAACAACTGGATCACAACAATTTCAGTTTCATATTTCAGAAAAATTCAGGAAAACATATTAAAATGGAGACTATGACATACGGAAAGCATATAAAAATTAAATTACCGCTTGTAATGTTTTAGGTTGATTTATATTCAGATATGGTAGACAACAGGAAGTAATCAGGTTCAGATCATTACCATTTATCTGTAACTATAGTAAACACTAGTATCAAATTAATATATCATTACGTGTCAATATACAAATTGCTAGTACTCTTAACTACAAACCAGACAAACTTAATCATAATAAAGTTCTTAAAAACTTTGTATCTTGTGATATTTGTCTCTATTTTAGACTAGATTTAAATCATTTTTCAGGTCAAGTTTCTAAGATTAATTCTAGTTTGTATGATGGCAAGTAAAAGGTCATCTAACTGATGGTATTTCAGTACAAGCAAGAGCAGGATTTAGATCATTCAACCCATCCAATTAAGGATAAGCAGTTATCTCAATTTAAAGTTAATGACTTCAATCTTCACTAATGACCCAAACCACAACACTTGTTACCAGGTGTTGAAGTCACATTTGAGTAATTAGTAATTATATCAACACTTATACCATCCTTAATACATAACAATCGATCTACTAGAATAAACAACTACTAGAGAATCTAAATGCTGAGTTATCTCTCTGTGATTTCTCCTGAGAACAACGATGGCTCAGCGAGTAAGGTGCTGGCTCCTGTGACTAGAAGGTTCAGCCTGTGTTTGATTAGGAGTTGTTTCTTCTTGAGATTATTCAGCCAGGTTTCCCCTTATTAGTGATACAAGCCGAACAGTCTAGTCATTCAGATGGGACAATAAACTGAAGTCGCTTGAACACATTGCAGGTGTGCATGTAAAAGAACACTAGACAGTTGGAATTTGATGAAGGCTTCTGTTTGGGAAAAAATTCAATCATAATCATAGCACATTGCATGGCATATGCCCATCTTCATTAGCCCAGTTGGAGCAGAAAAGTAACCCGTTAAACTCCATTTGGTGTCTCCTATAAAGACATTTGATTTTTTCGCACTGTATGCTACACGTTCTCATGATAAATTGCAAGCTAGATAAATATATATTGTTAACAGCATATTTTTGAGGAAAATCAGTATTTTGTCAAATAAGAATACATATAACAAAGATCCTGTTGTGGAAATGTAAGAATTTCAGAAAGTTAATATCTATGTAGAATTCAGAAGGTAAATTTTTCATACTTGATTTCGCAAAAAGTAACCGTAAACCAAAAAGTAAACCAAACAGTAACCGTAAACCAAAAAGAAGTTCCAATTGACTTGTATAGAGACTGTATAGATTGATACATCCCCACATGTTAGTGATTCAATATTAACCTTTATGATTAATGATACTAAATGTATTTTATTAATGGTACTGTATTTTTTTTATTACCTTTAAAGCTAGCTGTCCAAGATTGGTTAAGAATGTCAACTGTAGTTTATAGTTAACAGTGAAGGTGTACATAGATCCACAATGATAACTGAAAAAAAAAAGCCAAACAATTTTTAATTAATTCAGTGTGAAAGAATGATGATTAGAATAAGGATGATAGTATATGGTATAGGCCTATGATCAGCCATTCATCCAATATTACAGATACATTATGGGAGATTAGATAAAGAGCTGGCAGTTCTCGCTTTAATAGTTAAAAACTAGATAATGTAAAGGCAATTTGCTGAAAATTTCAGTCAAATTGATCGACTCTGAATTGAGAAGTTAGTGATTGAAATTTCGGCCTAGTCTCGACCAACATTACTAAAGTCAGTACAATAAAAAACATAGTCTCGATTATCCATTTCATGATTAAATCATGAATGAAAGTTGAGCAGCAAATCGGATCCTAATCCAATAAATATCGCAGGCAAGCGATAACATCGAGAGTTGATTATGGTCTGGATAAGTTAATTAATGTCTAATTAATGCCTAAAGAAAGACCTGCAATAGGCAGATTTAGATCTTGCATAAGGTATGTTTCAGTGGTAGACATACATCTTAATCTTAATTGTGATTAATTGTGGAAAATATGGTTCTTTGAAAGTAAATAAGCGTGATAATGTACAAGTTAGAAAATCCCCGACATGAGCTACGATGCCGATCTGTATAGAGTGGAGGATATTTAAAATACATGTATACATAATACAAAACAAATTTAGATCTGTATTTAAAGTAACGATGCCTGATTTACATTTTTCAAAAAATATCAAATTTGTCACAGCTTAAATCCATGCTAATTTGTACTCGGATTAATTAGTTATCCTTCAAAAATAAATCAAAATTCCAATTTCCAAGACTAGATAATCTCCCAGCTTGGATTCTATCAGATTTTAAACAGGCCCATTAATTTGGTTCATGGCAAATATAGATGGCGATCATCATGTTACATAGACTGACTGGAATTTTTTGATTGATATTCCAATTAGAGATTCATCTTTCACAATATTGTAGTTGGCAACGGATTTTATATAGCACTAAAATCATGCATAAACTCCTTAACCAGATTATTTTACGCCTTATATAAATCAAGCAATAAATTATTATCCTACAGCATGATCTATCTAAAAATATTCTAAAATTAATACAATTTAAAGCTGTATGTATCGATTAAAACACAGCTTATTGTGACATTATTTATATTTTGATTGACATGACTCACAATACCAGGTCTTTGTAATTTACAGTAATTCTCAAAATACAAATATAAATAAATATGATCATTAGAATGAAATCTGAAGCATTTTGATGTCTTAGAAGAGACAATACATAATACTCTCTTTATTTGCATAGTATGTTTTCTGCTTTAAATTTGGATACACTAATTAACACGTTTTTTGTATGTGTTTTCTACCATTTTCAGTGAAATAAGCTCTTGATATTTTATGACTTGTGTATAGTACACAAGGCAGGTAATTATAAGTGGTTTGATACAGTAACATCTTTTCTTAAAGGACAATATTGGTGTCAGTCATTATCACATATGTGATAGAACTGGTTAAACACGTTCCAAATATAATTTTAACACAGAGATCATTGCTACGATATATGAGCAATACAGGTGTCATGAATCGGAAATAACTTTACATACATTAATATTACATTAATGTACTCTTTTAGGCCCATTTATGTCTATTTTAAGGCTTCAAATAATAGAGCTATACACCCTTTAATTTTCTTAATTAAATCATTTAACTTAATGGTCGACCTGGATTAGTTTCATTGAGGCCAGCATGAGTTTCTTTTTTTGTCAGATTTAGCATAGGATGAAGATGACGACGGTCTCTTCCAAAAACATAACCATTTTCCATTTCTAGTTCATAATATTGAATATACTTCAATATTTCATTCACATCATCAATACATTATCCATTTCAAGTAAGTTTTATAAAACCCATTTGTTTAAAAGAATTTTTAACATCCTGTTTTCATTGTCAATTTATATTTTACTTTTAACATTGTTTACTTACTAACATTAATGTATCTTTTTACTAATTGTTTACAGCAAAGCACTTTTCAGCACTCTATGTGGAAATAGTTATGAATCCCCTTTTTTAAAAAGAGTTCATCATTAATTTTCTGTGTAACTCTTTTTCAGTGCAATTAATATTTTACTTTTAACATTTTTGACCTTTTTTTTTTAATGCATTCATGTATTTTTAACAATTGTTTTACTGTAAAGTGCTTTTGATCACCCTTATAAAAATTATTAATAATAATCAGGGCATTGATCTGGGCGTAGTGCAAAAGGTTGAATCTTAACTGTATCTTAAGTCCTTTGTTTAAAGGTTTACGATCAATACAAATGCAAAGCTTTCCATTAGATTTTACAATCACATATAGACTGCTGATTATAACCAGAGTGATGCTTTGAAGTTAAGAGCATAACATTCTTTAAGTATATAGGAACAGTAGTTGTCATACTGGATAAATTCAAGGTTCAATGTCCTGGGAACTGCAGTTGCTCAGTGAGTAACCTGCTTACTCGCTAATGAAGAGGTCTCGGGTTCCCTCCCACTGTTGGCCGAGAAAATCTTCAGGATTTTCCAGAGTGGTTTCAGGGGTGCAGGACGAAGTGCCTGGCAAGAAGTGATGAACCTAGGTTTCATCCAGAGTAACAATATAACCCATGAAAGCACATGGATCTCTCCAAAGTCCTTGAGAAGCTGTTGACTAACACAATTCTCTGATGGTTTTGTTCTTCAATCAACATTCTGAACACCCAACGAGCTGACAACTGTTTTCATGAGCAACTCTTCATGGATTATTCGTTCCACTGATGTTTTGCTAATGTTATCTGCAGTAGATGCCTATCTGGTAGTATTGTGTCTAGAACAGCAACAAGATTATCTTGGATGGTCACTTCATAAGGACGACTAAACTGTGCTTCATCTTAGATACTGATCCTTCCCTTTGTAAATTCAGTACACAGCTGTTAGACTATTCTATATGAAGGAGCATTGTCACATAATGTTTGTGTCATGTCATCATGAATATTGCATAAACATTTTCAAATGAAGATACTTAATCAAGGCTTTGCATTCTGTCTTCTCTATTTTGAGAGCAAATGAAAGCGTCATGCTGTTAGACAATTAAAAAAGGAGGAATTTATAGCAAATGGAATTATGTTTTGAATGTCAAGCACCTGCTGAAAAACTTTTCCAGCAACATGAGCAGAAACCTTTGGAACACCTCTCTTATTTGAGCGGCAAAGTTGAACGAAAAAATTTCAAATCTGTCACACACTTGAATTTACTACAGGCACCCAAAGAGGTCACTTTACCATATTCTATAAGTTTATGTCAAAATATCAATGGTCAGATATTTTTACATGTCCTGCAAGTTTGTTGGGAAGAAATAGCAATGAAATTAGGTTTAACATCCTACAGTTCTGCACCAACTGGGCTAATGAAGATAGGCATTGGTCATGCAGGGTTCTATGAGGGAGGTTTTGACCGGACCGCCGTACTACAGCCACTTGTTTCAAATTCCAACTCTCAAGGGTTCTTTTATGTCCTATCCAAACAGCTAGACACTATTTGTTGATTGTTGAAAAAAAATAAACAACCCAATTGATTATTGATGTTTATTTCCCAAAAATTAATTCTACAGTAGATATCGCTTGTGTGATAAATTTCATAATCTACTGCGATATCTCCTTATCGCTTTAGATGAATTTGATTGGTCAGTTAAAATGGAACTACTTTTTTGTATTTTCAAAGAACAGTTCATTTTTTTATTAAAAGTAACTTCTTTTTTTATTAAAAGTAACTTCTTATTTTATTAAAAATGAATTATTTTTATTTAATTGACCTTGATGGAAACACTGGGTCAATATAAAGGACTTTGCAATGGTTGAATTGCTATCAAAAAATGATGTATCACTACGCCGTTATGTAATCAGGTTCAGTAAAAGTGAAATCTATAGCAAAGAATTATATTTATTTATTTGTGCATGTAAGAAATAAATAAAATCTCCTACTCGTCTTTTTTGATATCAAAAAATATCAACATTCGTCGTTAAAGTAAAAAAAAAACATGTTTACATTATCGACTTGTGTTGATATTTTTTGATATCAAAAGACGAGTAGGAGATTCTCTATATAACATCATTTACTATATACATGTATGATGATGATATATAACATCATTTGGATACTTAAAACTACCATGTTGAAACTAACTAACATATGGTGCAAAGTTCCATTTGAAGCTACATGTAATATCACCTGGTAAAATGTCAATTGTCATACAGAATATCTTACATAGTTGTTTTGTTAAAGATTAGTGGATGATCACTGTATTTGCTTTCTACTCTTAAAATGTAATTAAGTCCTTATCCTGATATGTAAATTAATGATTGTATAATTGTTTAACTGTCATGGTATGACATACTGTAGTTTATAGAACTTAACTTCTAGGCAACTTATTAAACATGCATTATGCAAGAGGTAAATCTGTCTATTGCAGGTCTTTCTTTAGACCTGAAATGTTATATAAACTATTAAAAAACAGATGTGACGTCACCCTTTGATGTTGGCGTACCATTATTTCAAATAATCGTATGGGCAACTTGTCAATCATACATTATTTATACTAGTGAAATATTGGACTCGTGTGATGTATTTCACTGTAAAAGCACCTGCGGAGTTACTGTATTTTAAGTTGTTTAATGGTCTCGAGCTTAAGAGATTGCGTAATGAATTGTAAAAACACTCAGTTACAATATATTACTTAATGTCTCTCTCTCTCGACCATTAAACAAGACCATAATCAACTATCGATGCCATCTTATATAACTTGTCCGATTACCAATGGATTTCAATCTGATCTGCTGTTCAATGTCAGCTGATGATTAAATGCAAAAATGGATAATCAAGACCTCTAGTTACTTATCGTGAGAGTGCTAACAAAGATTTTAAAATAAGGTTTTCTCGACTTGTAAGCGATTTGACTGAAATTTTCAGTATATTCCCTTTACATTATCTG